GTTTCCTTTCCTCTTCTTTTTTGTTGTTAGTTTGCCAAAACTCGTCGCGATTTGAATGCCTCTTCGTACTTTAGAATTCCGACAACAGCTATGAATTTTTATTTTTTTAAATAAGTAGAATTTAGTTAATGGGAATACAAATAATAATAATAATTATTATTTACATAAAAATTAAACAAACAATTAAATTAAAAAAATATATATTTATTTATGTATTTTGAATACGATTTTTAAGCACTTAAATAAAAAATGCTTTTTAATTAATTCATTGCACAACACACTATGGGTATTCACTATTTCTGTGTTTCCTAAGCAACTATTAAATAATATTTAGTTTAAGAAATTTCTTTCAATTTCTGGAATTATTTTTACGAGGCTATTCCAATTACAGATCCAAATATTTTCTGAAATAAACATATTTAGAAAGTGCTTTATAAATTTATATATTTATATAAATGCATATCTGAGTTATCCCATTTGTTCATCATTTAATTTAATTCAATCTGAAACAGTATTAAACAATAATTGCAACTCAATTCGAATAAGTTCGAAAATGATTTCGAACGACTGGCAGACCCCTGACCTCGATTGCAACTGCAACTCAAACTTCTCCGACGCGTTCAGAGCGAGCGAGCAGCATTGACTCAAACATTGAGTGGCTTTTCTTGAGTGCTTTGCAATACGAGTTGAGCGCGTTGATTGCAGTCGTTGTTGCTGTAACACGAACAAACACTTGTTTATTTTGTTTGCCGTTGACAGCAGCAGCAGGCAGTCTCGCATTGCCATTTGCCCGTCAGTGTTTGCTTCAAACTGCTTCAGCTGGCAACTCAACCGAACCGAACCGAACCCAACTTAACACAACACAACACAGCACAGCACAGCACAGCTCAACCATCGACCATTCATCCATCGATTGTCAATCACTCACATTTGACTCCTACGACCATGTGCACAAATGAGAACGAACCAACGAACGAACTACGGAACGAAAGAAAGAAAGAAAGCTTCGCGCCTGGCAATCGCATGTGCTTTTTACACACACACACACACACAGACGCACACATGTCCAACTGTAAAAGAAATGGTTGGCTGAAAGCAACAAAAACCAAAGCGTTGAGCAAAAAAATCTAACAGCAATGAAATGAAATGAAAAGAGTTTCGGCACCAGCACCAGCACCAGCAGCAGAAGCAGCCGCACCAGCAGCAGCAGCAGCGACGTCAACGTCAACCCGAGCAACGACTCCGAAGCCATCGTGTAGGTGGCTGCCCCCACCAACCCCTCCCTATCTGCTACGATGCCTTTTCCCTCTCTCATTGCCCGCCGCCTCATCTCCTGCTCTCGGCTCAACCAGTGCACGTCGTGCGTCTCTCGTTCGCTGCAACGCATTTAGCGACTGCTGCTGCTGCTGCTGCCACTGCTGTTGTTGATGCTGCTTCTCTTTTCTGTTTTGCATTAGGTGAGCGTTCAGCCCCCCCACCCCTCATCCCTTTACCCGTTACCCATCCTCTGCAGACCATTGAGCGCTGGGTTAAGGTTGCCATCGTCGTCATTGCTGCTGCTGCTGTTGCTGTTGCTGCCGCTGTTGCTGTTGCATTGCACTCGGAGCTTCGATACAATTTGAACTTTTTCTTTATGTACAAGTCGAAACTGTAACTTGAACGAACACATTGTATGCTTAACTGTGGGGGCGGTGGGTGATTGTGAACCTGAGCCAAAGCAGAAAATCCAAAACTAAAGCTAAAACTACAAATTATATTCGATGTACACAAATTAAAATAATTAATACAGATTAGAATATGTCGCACTTATTATTCTAATTTATTTATTTATTTTTATTTATTTTTGTATCTTCAAATGCACTTTGAAAAATTGTAGATGATCGATCAGAATGAAATGGAAGTTGTGCAAAATTTGATTTCTTTTTACTTCTGATATGAACATAAAAAATTGAATAATAAATAATTAAAATGTGTAAAAATATTCTGTATCTTCAAATATATTTAGTATTTTTGAATCCAGTTTTGGATTAAAGTTAGTTTTTTTTTTCTTAATTCCTTTTTCTTATTTTTATTCGTTGCACCTTTCGATTCGAACTCGCCTAACATTCAACTTATGGGAAAGGCGGGGCTAACACCCGGCCACCGACCACCACCTGCCACCTGCCACCCCGTCCAACACAGCATAGAGCAGGTTGACCTTTGGCAGGCCACTTGAAGCAGCACAAAAAAAAGGAAGAAGAAGAAAACCAAGCTTGGCATCGAAAGTCACTCACACTCACACACACACACACACAGAAAGCAGAAAGCAGACACAATAATAATTTGAGCTACCCACCGAACTCCGCAAGGAAGCCAATTCCCCTCCCCCGCCCCCAACTGTATGTCCAACGGAAGTGCACCTTGAGCCATATGGATATGTTTGCAACCAACAACAAGCCAAACAAACACACATAATAACAGTAATAATAATAGTAATAATAGTAATAGTAATAATAACAATAATAAGAGAAGCAAAAGAAAAGAAATGGCAACTTAATTCATAAACAAGAAACAAGAACAAGAAAAAATAATAATCACGAAGCCGGCAAACGGCGAAGAAGACTTCCCCTAACGTTGTCGCTCTCTCGCTCGCTCACATGGAGTTTGCACTCAATCTGCGGCTCAATAAGCAAAAAAAAAAGAAAAAAAAAGAAGAAAAACGACATGAGCAAAAGGCAAAATGTGAGCGCAGCATTTTCCTATAAGTTTTTCCCAATCAGAAAAAAGGCGACAGAGGCACAAGCAGGAGCAGCAGCAGCCGCAGCAGTAGCAGCGACGTCGACGCCGCAGTCACATATGCAGTGCAAGCGAGAGAGCACGAACGACAGACGAAGCGAGGCAGAGAGAGAGAGAGAGAGAGAGGGCGATAGAGAGAGAGAGGGTGAGAGAAAGAGGGAGACAAACGGGGGCCGTTGGTTTGAATGAATGAATTTCAATACATGCAACTGACAGAAGTTATCAGAAGGAAGGCAGCCCAGCAGCAAGAAGCAAACGAAAAAAAAAACAACAAAAAATAAACAAGCAAAAAGTAAACAGAACGAACACAATCTGAGCACAAGTTGTTGTTGTTGCTGTTGTTGCTGTTGTTGTAATATATATGTGCTTGCGTACATGTGAGCGGCGACGGCGCACAAAAATGCTCAGCCCCAAGAGCAAAAGCAAAACAAACTAAAATCAAAAACCTATTGAAAGAATTCAAAAGCGTGCAGGCAGTCACCAATTGAGTGACTCTCTCACACTCTCTCTCTCTCTCTCTCTGCGCGCTCACCCTCTCTCGCTCGCTCACACTTGCGCGCTCGCTCTCTCTCGCTCACGCTCTCGCTCGCGCTCTCTCGCTCTCTGTCTGTCTCTCTCGCTTGCTCTGTCTCTCTTCGAGTGCAAAGCAATGCCAGCTCGCTGCTCGTTCGGGACGCTCGTACGCTCGTTCGCTCGTTCACATTGTTCGTGTGTGTTCGTGGTCGTTGCGTACCGAGCACATCGTGTATGATTTTTTTTTGGGGTTGTCGACGCTGCGACTTGTGCAGTGTTGTTCAGTCATCAACTGAATTCGTGACTGGCAACGTCGCCTGTGTGTGCCGCTGCCAGTAACCGAGTGTGTGTGTTGTGTGTGTGGACTGACTGTTGACTGTTGAAACCCAGAGATCTGTGTCTCCGCTCTGCCGCGGAGTCGAACCAATTGCGAATAGCGAATAGCGAATCACGCCGAATCATCAGCCCACAAGCAACAGCAACAACACCAAAACGAAACAGTTACAAATCAAGCTAATTTATTTATAAACAACAACGATAACAACTACAACAAAACAACAAAACAACAACAACAACAACAAATGCAATCAGCATCAATTTAACTGTTTTTCAGTTGCTTAACATCCATTTTTTTTGAGCTATTTTTTTTTCTCACTATTATTTTTGAAAAAATATATGCATAAATATATAAATAAATAATAAAGGAAGAAAAAGTGTGCGTGAGTGTCCAGTGTAAACAACAACAACCACAACAACCACAACAACAACAGCGACAAGCGCAGTGCAACAACGACGACAACAGCGGCAACATGCAACAACAATAATCGCAGCAACAAGCAAATTGCAAATAGCTTCAAAGCGCGGCTCGGCTCGGCTCAGCTCAGCTCTGCAGCCAAAGCAAATTAACAACTTAAGATAACAGATCCAATCAGAATTATTTCCTCGCTTTAACTTTGGCACACACAAATGGCAACAGATTTTAAAGCCGTCGCAATTGTTGCAGCCAAAACGACAACGACAACAACAACCACAACAACAAATTGTGCAAGTGTGTGCGTGTGTGTCTGTGTGCTAAATCAAATCAGTTGTAAATCAAATCAACCCAACGACAACAACAACAACAACAACGACAGCAACAAATATTGGCAAACAACAAAACAGAAGTTTCAACAAAAATAATTGATTTTGAAAAATTGAATTTTTTTGAGCACGTAAAAAGCAAGCAAACAAAACAAAACAAAACAAACCAAGTAAAAGAGGAAGCAGCAGCATCTTTGCAACTATAACAACACCAACGACAACACCAATAACAACACCAACAACACCAATAACAACAACAACACCAATAACAACTGCGGCAACAACAACAACAACAACAGCAAAAGTGCGTGCGTGGGTGTGTGGGTGTATGTGTGTGTGTGTGTTGTGTGTGTGCATTTCTCTCCCCCTCGCTCTCTCCCACTCTCTGCGTGTGTGCCTCTCTCTCTGTCTCCCTCGCTGCTGCCACCAATTAACTAAACTAACAAAATTAAAAACAAAAAAAAGTTGGATTTACTAACCAAAGTGTAAAGCAAAAAAAAAAAAGAAAAAAAGAAAAAAACTATTTTTTTTTTCGTGGCTGTTTTGAATGCCTCAACAAATGCCGCTAGAAACGGCAGAGCAGCCACCACAACAACACCAGCAGCAGCAGCAGCAGCAGCAGCAGCAGCAGCAACAGCGATAACAACCAACAACCAACAACAACAACCAAACAACAACTCAAAAGAATCACACAAATCCAAAGACAGCCCACGAATGCAGCCAACATTGCCACAAGCCGCTGGGACAGCCGATATGGATCTGACGGCTGTTCAATCAATCAACGATTGGTTTATCAAAAAGGAGCAAATTTATTTATTGGCACAATTTTGGCAACAGGTAAGCGAAACACCAACAACAAACCCAATTCCCATCCAAATCATAATCGAACTGGGCATGCATTTGCCGGCTATTCAAAGTGTTGACAGATACAACATATATATATATATATACATATATATACGAGATATATATATATATATATAGAAAATGTGTTCATAGTTTGCAAAACAGTGTTCAATTGGGTTTTTCAAGTGTGTTAAGGTCTTTAATTGGCATAAACCCAAAGAGATGCAGTCAAAAATCGAAAAATAATCCGATTATGATTATATATTTAATTTATTTACATAATAAATGATTAGAACGAGAAAACTACTGGGAGACTGTGTGAGAGAGAGGGAGACAGTGCGAAGAGAAAATAAACAAAAGTTGCATATTTTTGTAGTCCAATTTATATATTTAATTATTTGTTTAACATTGAGGCGTAGTTTGGCACTAGGAAATAATATAATTTTATTATTGGCAAACAAATAAATTGCATATGGCAATCGGTGTTTCTTATAGAATAAATGTTGCATCAAATTCTGATACACAAAGATACTTGGTTTTTGGATGTTCAACTCAATATATTATTTCTATTTTATTATTTAGTTTTCCTCATTCAATGTCTTAAATAATAATTAATTTTTGGATATTCTCAGATTCGAATTTTTGTACAAACTTTTTAGGCATTCTTCAATATAAATTGATGAAAATGTTGGACAAATTTCTTAGTTTGTCCAAAAAAAAAAAAAACCTTCCATTAAGCATTTGTGACATAATTTTGAAAGTTTCCCAGCAAAGCTAAAAAAAAAAAAAACAAAAAACATGAAAAAAAAAACAGAAAAATAGAAAAACAGAAAAACTCCCACACTTAACAGAAAACAAACAACAATATGGATATTATATGCATGCACTTGTATTTTGCATTTTGCATTTTGCATTTGGCATTTTGCATTTTGCATTTGGCATTTTCCATTTTCCATTTTTATTGTTGTGTGTTTTTGTAATTCATTTGTAACTAATTGAGTTTGCGTGTCTGTGCCAATTGTTTTTATTGATTTCTGAAAATTTGTTTACAAAATGCAACAAAAACAACAACGGCAGCAACTGCAACAATAGCAGCAACAACAGCAGCAGCAACAGCAGAAGCAACAGCAACAATAACAATAATAACTAATAGCTGAGCGATTTTAGGCTTGAATTGTTTGCGAATTGTATCCAAATCCGTTTTGAGAGAATTGTTTTTTTTTTTTGTTTTCTTCGTTTTTTTTTTTCGTGCCTTAATCATTTGTCGAACTTTAGCTGATTGTTGAGGGAAATGTTAATGGGAAAAACACACACACACACACACTTGCATACACAAGATCAGCAAACACTTAACTTAGGCGAGACCTCAACATCATTATCATCATCATCTAGGCCATAATTATGATTCGCCGCAGCCAGACGACAATTTCTGGCCACATGCCAAAGTCGCAACTCCAAAGACAATAACAACAACAACAAGAACAAGTAGCTCCAATTGCAGTCAGACACAGCAGACATATATACATATATATATATATACATATATATTTATATGCACTCTACATTTATATATATATATATCTATCTATAACTGTATCTATATCTTAATTGGAGTTTGTCTGCAATCTAATTGGATTCGCATATGTGTATACAAATATATTCACAAATCAAACAAAAATCTTGGACCAGCTGCACTTACAAATATTGCAAGCGCCTCCCAACGCAACCCACCCCACCCCCAACCACTCCCTTATATTCGCAGAATGCAACTGCAACGAGAAGAGGCAAAAGAAATTCTCAGAAAATGGCTTTGCAATTGATTTACATTGACGAGGGACTCGTTGGTAGACCTATATAAATATCTACATGCCATCTAGTCATATATAAAGATGATCCATCTAGACATCAGTATATATAAATATATATATATATGTATAATATATAATATATATATATATATATATATCAGTATTTATTTGTCGATGTTTCCTTCGTTTTGCCGTCGGCAAATTTTTGCATGCTTGCATGAAATTCAATACAAATACAAATATTGATGTACAGATACATATACATACATATATATACATATATCTGTATGTATTTATGTGGCATGCTTGTAGCCGGCTACATCTGCTATTAGAAACTTACAGATCCGCATATCTGTTCATCTATGGATCTGTGGATCTGCGATTAGTGCAAAGTGCACCCAGCGAGGCAATCAATAAAACTTAAATAAGCAAAACCAATTTGCGGCCACGCCCCGTTTGCAACGTTGTATCTCCACAAGGAAATGGCTAGAAATATGTCTGTGTGTGTGTCTGTGTGTGTGTGTGTGTGTGGAAAGAGCCAGCCAGGTATAAAATCATATATTTTGATGGGCACTTATCTCCAATTATAATTATGATTGCTGAAAATGTGCCAAAGAAAATGACGAAAAATTAAACATTTTTTTTTATTGTTGTTGCTTATTTACTTTATATGAAGAGAACACAACTCAATTAAGTCGACAACTGGACAGTAAATACTCAATTTAAAATACATGAATATGTTTTATAATAGAGACACTATTTAGTCCATAATTCCATTGGATACATCATGAGGCACATTCAATCATTCATTCATATTTTGTTCCTTTCTTTTTCTATATAGTTGCATAAATACCCAATAAATGTGAATTTTCTTTTTTATAAATGAAAAGTTTTTGTAAGAAATAATAAAATAGATTTAACTTCAGTATTTAGTCAGTTTATTTTCAAATTTCAATTTTAATTACAAACTTTAAGTGCATATAGAAAACTAAAATATTCAAAGAGTTTTTTTTTCGTTTAAAAATTTAAAAATATATTCGGCTCGAATCGTAACAAAATGCTTAAAAAAAAAAAAGATTTGAAACCTTTTTTTATTTTTGTAGATTTATTTTCTTTTTGTTAGCTTTTCGCTGGTGATTGATTCGCAGAATTTTAGAGCGAGCGCGCTCTTAACGAGCATTTGATTTGTTATTAATGGGAGGCGAGTGAAATAATAAAAATGAAAAACAGGCGAACAGCAGCCAAGCAACTAACTTGGCAAATTGTCTGATGCGTCTTCTTTTTCGTATCGGATTCGGATTGTTTTCTACAACAAAAAAACAAAAACAAAAACAAAATCAAAATCAAAATAAAAATAAAAAGCTGTGTTTGGCAATTAGACACAGATCGATTTGAAGACCGACCTGTAATGATGTGTGAGTCGGAGTCGGAATCGGAATTGGAATTGGAATTGGAGTCGGATTTGAAGTGCGCCGGTGAAGTGATCTCATCGTGTAGTCAAGAGATCACTTTAGACAATTTGGGCTTATCAGCGAGCAGAGCGATCAACTTCGCTGCTTGCCAAAAATAGACCAACAAATCTGCGCCCATAAATATCATTGACAAGCCAAATTGTGTAATCATAAATAAAAAATAAAAAATAAAAAAAGCGAAGCAAAAAGACGCGCGCGAGTAACCAGAGACAAAAGTTTAAACATATTCATTTGTAAGGCCAAAAATAGAAGTTCATTAAATAATTAACGGGCAGCGGAAAGCAAATAAAGCCAAGTTAACAGCAACAATTTTAAGAACAAAGAAATACAAAAAAAAATATACATTGACAGCTGTTCAAAGTAAACCCCATCCCTCCACTTAACCCCCTAACCCCATCTGCCCCCTCTCTCTCTCTTCCTGTCTCTCGCTGTCTCTCTCTCTGTCTCTTTCTCTGTCTCAGTCGCACACTCTGTTATCTTCTTGGGCTCATTCAGCGCAGTTTTGTGTTTCAAGTACATGCGCCATATACACCCAAAATTGGCACCAATTCCTAAAGCCATCGAAAGCGTCAACAGCGTCAACAGCACTGGCCACAAATTGCCAGATTAACAGAAATTATTATTACCATATAGTACTATATACACTATATGTGCATGTATGTAAAAATCTAAGCAGAAGTAGCGCACTGCCACCAAAAATCGACTCGAAAGCCCCACATTCATTTCCGTACTTTCGATTGCAAAGCAGCAAAGCAACAACAACAGATAACAATAATAATAATAATAATAATTATAATAACAATACTATAATGAAAAAGAAAACAAACAAAAAAGAACAAAAATACTGAAACCCGGTCGCAATGCAATCTATAAACTTGACCCATTAACATGGCAAAAAGAAACTGCTCTCATTTGGCTAAGCAAATTAAAAAAAAAAAAAAACTGACAACCAAAAGAAAAAACTGTCATTGATTTTCGCTGACTACCAATCAAGAATGGACAAGACGACAACTGGCAACTGCTGTTTGACTGACCAACCAACTGACTAACTGACTGACTGACTGACTGACTGACTGACTGACTGACTGACTGACTGACTGACTGACAGATACTCCTCAACTCTGTGGCTTTCACAAGGGTGCAAGTCGGGGATTTTTAATTGCCAAAATGCATTGCAGAAGCGATACTAGAAACAAGCGCATTTTATCTGTTCACTTTTCGAGCTGTTTTTTTTTATATTCTCTTTTTTTTTTTTTGGCTTTTTTTTTTGTGTAGTTGCGGCATTAATCAAATCGAAACCGGTTCACGAGTTCCTGTGGCAGCCAGCAACACCACCACCACCACCACCACCACCATCGATGTTTTTGATAGTTTAAAGTTTATTTCAAATATGGCGGTCTCAGTGCATCAGTTGTGTGTGGCAAGCCATTTGCATATGCCCAAAAATGAGCAGCCCCTGGGCTCAAGGGTTGTCCTCAATGCCAAAGCTGTTAGATACACACACAGACATGCCAAGAGCACAAGATACACCAGATACAGTTAGGGATTGACAAACAGATACAGATACAGATACAGACACAGATACAGATAGAGATAGAGATACAGATAGAGATCAGCGGCAGCGTGTGTCATATAATTTTTAGCGTTTTAAGTGCAATTTACTGGGGCCGGGCCAAGCAGCCGGCAAGTAGCTAATGAGTCAGCCCAAGGG